CTAACAAATGGACCGTTGTGCCCCGGGTAAGGCACAAGGCTTAAAGTTATAACCAAAAAATTGAAAGCAAGAAAACAGAAAATAACATTTACTCCGGACTAAAGGAGATTGGTATAAAGTCTTCAGCCTTCCAATTATTAAGCCCACTGACGGTAGTAGGGAAAATCCAACTATTTATGTCACAGTCACTATCAGCGTCTTATATAATGTTGACTTGATTTTTATGAACTCCATTGTTGTTGATGCAGAATGGCGGTCTCCTAGAATTAGCACGAGCACGACAGACATCCCTCTGAGCCTCTGAGGTGAAACCTAACCCAAATTTGTTAGACTTGTAAGGAATTTCGGGAAGCTGGCCCCAAATAGTGCCACTACCTTCTTCTACCACGGCCTTAGTGTCTTTCAGAGAAGCCGTTATTGGTGGAATCCTGGTGTTGTACCAAAAAATTTTCCCTCCCATTTTTCTTTACATTCTTTCAAAGATCTTCAAATGGTCAAGGCACCCAAGGGTTGACTAGTCAAGATGCACATCCTAGACCAAAAGCCTACAACTAGGGTTTGGAGTTTCTCAAGGAAATTTGGTCTACAAAAGTATCAAGTGGCTCCCATGTTTCTTCATAGGTCCTCAACAAGGCTCATGTCAAGTTTCAAGCCCTACATCACAAGTTTGCTCAGTCAATGGCTCAGATGCTTGAAAATCAACTGTATTGATCAAAAAGTCAACTATGGTCAACATGCAATCAAACTTCAAGATTTTTGGTTAACATCAACATTTTCAAGTGACATTCATAATTTTATCAAGGGTTGATCATTATTCCCCAAGGAAAGTCCTTAGATCATCAAAAGCCAAGATTTGTCAAATTAGGGTTTCCTTAGGAGAAGTCAACTGAACTTTGACCAGGCATAACTTTCACATGCTTCATCCATTTTGCCCCAATAAAAGCTCATTATGTATAAAATTCAATTCCCTACAACTTTCCTTTTGTCACCAAGTTCAAGAAATGCATCATTGGAAAGATATGAGCCAATACATTACAGGTCTTTTTGAAAGTCAACAAAAAGGCATTTTTTGTCAAGGCAAGTTACATCAAGATAATTTATCCAAATGAAAACCTAGTCAACATAGAGATTGTAAGAGACACCATGAGCTTTCTAAAAAGTCAAAGATCATCTCCAAAAGATACAAATCGAGCAAGTTAGGACCAGTACAAATTGGTGAAAATGCAAAAAATTCAACTTTGAGCAAAAATGCATTTTTAAGTTCATAGACCTATTTTGTGCGATTCAAATATGTTTATGACTTGCTCAAGGACCCCTAAATTCACTCTCACCTTGCTTTGAATTTTTTCTCTATTTTATTCATATTTATTTTGTTTTTATTCAAATAAACACAAAATAAATTGCATAAAATAATAAATAAAAAGTATCGACACATGGACTGATGATTTGGGTTGATATTGGGCCTTAGAATTCATGCAAGGCATGAGGAAAACAACTAGGTTCATTGCATCTCAAGAAGGGCAAGCTTTTCAAAATTTTGGAAGTATTTTAATGTGTTTGATATTGCTTTGAAAGGGGGCCATTATGTTGGATTCTTGCCATGTTTACTCACTATTCCATCCCTCTATAAATACAAAACAAAAGCATAAGCAAGGGACACGAAATCATCACTTGGAAAAAGCTCTCAAAATTCTCAAAATTGTTCAAAGGTTGTGAAAATTCAAAACCTGATTTCCAGCCTTCCTCCATCCAATCTCGTGCCATCTTTGCACTCCTGAGGTCCCCAGGAGTCATTTCAATCTGTCACCTTGGTCTGAAGCGCGCCCGAGTCGGCCATACAAGTTGTATCATTTGGTATAGTTTATTTAAATTTAATCTCGTTAATCTGCATTTATTAATCCATTTGACGTTTGCATACATGTTTCTAGTCGTATATAAAGCGGGTTGGACGTGAAGCATGTAAGTTTTGAGGCCTGGTTCATGAGATGCCATTCTCAACCCCGATCAGAAGCTTGGCTTCGAAACGTAAAATTTAGAGACCTTTAGCAAAAACTAACATTGGATTCGGACTCAGGGCATCTCTTTAATGGGGATTTTTTGAGCGCCTGGGCTTTTGTGGATTGGGCTTGGTAAATTCAAATTACACCCCCAAATTGTTTCAACAACAGCAGGCCTATTTTTCGTATTTCATTTTTTTTTTGTTTTAATTATTTTGTTTCTTTTAAATCTTTTTATTTATTATAATCTTAAAATCAAAAAAATCATAAAAATGTAGATTTAGTTTTTTTAATTAAACTTTAGTAAATTAATTAATTTAATTATTTTGACTTTTTATTTCATTTTAAAATCAATTAGATTTAGGTTGCAAATCTTTTTCTTAATAACTACAAAAAACATGTAGAGTTAACTTTCTTTCATTAGTATTTATTTTCATTAATAATCGATCGTTTTGTTAATTAATTAAGATTAGGTTTAGTTATTTAATTAATTTTAATTCAAATATTTTCTTAAAATAAAAAAAAAACCAAAAAAAGAATTTTCTTAATTTGCATATATTTCCTTAGGGCTTTAAATAAACGTTCTTTTTAATCCTCGCACGTTCATTTTGTTTTCTGCATTGTTACTTTCTTATTATTATATCTGCCCATGGATTGTAATAGACTGAAACAACCGGCTGAACAATCAACTGATAATGAAATCAATGAAGTCGCCATCAAACATTTTTTATCCCACAAGAGGGGAAAGGTAAACATCGAGTAAACCTTAGAAGGGTGAAATCAAGGTCGAACGACCAAGAGATACAGGTAAGGGAGTCTGTTACACGAGGGGAAGATATTAGCACCCTACATGCCCGTAGTACTCTACGATATCCACTCTTGTTATCTATCTTATGGGTGTGTAAGAATCTATATCTATATTGTATAGGAAATGCATGCAAAAGAAAGAAGAAAAGAATGTAGGAAAAATAAAAGTTGTGCTCGCTCGGGCCCTACCCCAATGCCTATGTATCCCTTTTAAGGAATCAGAGCAGCCGTAGTTCGACTCACATATTTTTGTTGGTTTGTATTTTTTAATGAACACTATTAATTTCGCCTTCTGCCACAACTCGACCTTTGGAGATTTATGTGTCAGCACATAACTGAATTAATAGGTTCTTTTGAAAAAAAAGGTTTGAAAGAAAAGCCCGAAGGCGCAAAAGAGTTTGCATTGGTTGATATTTTTTACCTTAAAGAAGGATTTGAAAATTATTAGATGTTTTATGCATTTGACAAAAAAAGAGTTTTTGTTTTAAATTCAAGGATGCAAAAGAAAATAAAACATCTAAGGGAGACTAACCTAAATCTATCCCTAATGTTATCATACAATGATTGATCCTATAGTTGAGTTTTGAAGGGAAATCTCTATACTATGTTGACATGCTTGGATAACAATCCTAATGTCTATCTCAACTCATCATCTATAGATTAATCAATAAGTCCTAAAGGAGCATAGCCATGATCTATCACCTAAAACTCTGTCTATCTTGAATCATCAACTATAGTTGAATCAAGAGCTCCTAAGGGAACATGCCGAGGGTATATCATCTCAAAAAATGCACACAAAGATGAAATCAAGCAAACAAGCCAATAAGCTCAAGAGAACACACCTAGAGAGATCCTATCTAGGCTAGCATACCAAAGAAAGTCTAACAAAACTATCCTATGGGGAACATGCAATGAGAGCTAAGTCGTGATCTCAATTCCTAAATTGAGTGACTCATCGATCAACAAGAAATCAAGAAAAGCGATAAAATCCTATAGGGAGCATGCACTGAGAGCAAAGTCGTGATCTCAATTTCTAAATTGAGTGACTCATCGATCAATCAACCAATGAAATAAACACTGGCACAACACATATAGAAAATGCAGTGCATAATTCCTGCTACAGGTATTTAAACAGCGACTTCGAGCGCACGCTCTTTATTTCCTACTTCTCATGATCTCTAGAAAGCGGTAAAATGTTGAAATGAGATAAACAAGGGAAAATACCAAATGGATATCAATCCGTAGCAAAGCCTATCAAAACAAAGAAATCCGGAAAACTTCGAGTGAGCTTCATGAAGAAAAGAAAAGAGTCAGAAATCAAATTCTTGGAATAAGCGTCGAAACATCATCGATGTGAAAATAAATCACAATTGAAATATCAAGCGCCTCTGCATACCACACAATAAACCTGCATAAGACGCAAATCTCGACAAGCAAAAGTGAATTACCAATCTCAAATTTAATCAGATAATTGGGATTAAATTCCTAAAATAAGAGAGGAGAGGAAGAAAAAAAATATCATTAACAAAAATATATCTAAACCAAGAACTACCCTATTAATATTCACACAAAATTCCATCAAAAATCATAAGAGAAACCAACAAAATTAGTTGCTAAAAAATTTAAGAAACAATATTAAGATTCAAAAGGGAAAGGATGGTGCACGCTGGAAACAGGTAGTATGGCAGGGAATGGTATTTAGCTCCATCACAGATGAAGCCCAACAGTTTTTTTAATTTAATATTTAACAGGTTTGTGGGGCTAGAAGAAAATTGGGCCTAATCAGAGAGAACTCGGTCAAAACAAAACATCAACAACCTCATTATTCAGATTTTTGTTTTTTATTATTAACATATTATCTATTGAATAATAAAAAAAAATAAAAGAAAATAACAAATAGGAAGAGGGACTATGGTTGAAGGCTTGTGTCATTTCAATTCTCAATAGAATCTCTTCGTCTTCTCGAACTTGCAACCGCGGAGGCCGAATCTCCTCTCTGTCGTTCTCAATCTTCTCCGTGGTTCCATCTTCTTCTACCTCTTAACGCGAATAGAGGTTAATCTCTCTTCTCTGAGCAACAAGAACGGCGCCGGTCGCCTCCATATCGTCTCAATGATCCGATTCATTCTCACCTTCATCTTTCGCTTCTGATCCAGACGAAAACAAGAAAGCAGAGGGAAAATGAGATAGCAAAGTTTACCTTCCGGAGACAAATCTGACGCTTCCTATGTTAAGAAATCCGACGGAAGTTCCACGAGAAAAAATTAGGTATGCATCTTCTCCGCGAATGCCATTCCTCTTTCGATTCTTCTTCATGATTCTTCTTCATGTTTCGTTTGATTCCATTTTATTGCCTTTTGGTGTTTTGCGCATGTGATGTTTGTTATTATTACTGATTCGTGCGATCTGGTTGTGATGTTGCAGAGAAACGTTAAAGCTCTTGATGATGAATATATTTGAAGAAGGTAAAAGTTCTTTAATGAAGACGATGGTGCGTGAAATCCAAAGAAATTCAGGGAGGAATAAGAGAGAAGATGGTGTAAAACTGAGAGAAGAAGGTAGCAGAAGAAGGTGAAGGTGGAGCAAAAGAAAGAAAGAACGAGGTTCAGAGAAGGGAGTGAGAGATGAAGATTGCAGAGAATTTCTCAGAGAGAAAGATTGGAGAATTTTCTGGTTTTCAGTGGCTTTTCCCGAATGAGAGTGAAGAAGATGCCTCAAAGGTGAGTTTTTTGTTATATAGCTAGAGCTGTTAGAAGTTAGTTAGAGGTTGTTATGAAATCAGTTAGGAGAAGTTGGGATTCTGTTTGGAATTCTATTATAAGCTGAGCTGGAAGTTCAGTTTTAATTTCCTCATTTTCCCTTCTATTTTCCCTGATCTTTTCCTTTATATTTTCTGATTATTCCCTCTGTCTTATTGAGTTGGCTAATTATTTCTGATTCCTGATTTCTCTTCTTAGATATATTAGGTACTCATGTTCCAAATGAATGCAGGGATAGTTGTAGGGAAATGTGAATCTTGTTTGAACCGATTTTCACTGAGTTTGTTAGTGCAGGTTGAAGCTCGGGCAGCAGGTCGCGATGACACGGGTTAAGAGCAAATCAACAAATTTCATTTGAACAGCAGAATCAACGGTCAAAGCTTGAAACTCAAATTCACCGTCCCATTTTGATTTTTCCTTCCCAACTTTAGGATTTTATTCTCTTCAATTGATCCCTTGCGCATTGAGTTGTTATGATATAGACTGGTTGAACTTTCTATGCATGATAACATGGTGAACTGACGTGAGTAAACTGATTTTACCCCTTTGGCTACACTGGTACCATTTTTGAACTGAATTATTATGTGGTCATGGCGGCTTCGAGATTCTTCTTTTCTGAACAGGTTTTATTTGGTATAAATTGCAGGGTTGATTTTTGGTTTTTTATAGGTGTTGTAGTGAATGCAGATTTGGGGATCCAAGTTTAATGGACAAATTTTGATGTTTGCAGGTATGCAAATCAGACTGGTTTAGTTATAAGTGGCTTATTGCATTCGTCTATATCAACTGATATGTGTAGGGCATTTTTGGATGAACCTGTTGGTTTAGTACACCGAACAACACTCTTTATGAACATAACTACTACATGTTAGACACTAAATTTGTCTTGAAAAATCTTCACTTATTATGGAATTGTTTCAACTTGTGAAAACTTGTTGATTTGTACACGTATGTATTTGTTATACAGGTTTCCTGTAATCTTTCAGGTTGAAATCATGGTGCACAGTGCAAGAGTTTGATGGACGTATCCTACAACAACTTGTGTATCATAGATGCCAATAAGCCGGGCGTATTGGTTCATGGATCAGCATAGTGGCAACGAGTTTATGGCTAGCTTTGCAAGTATGGTAGAGATTTTGCAAGGGTATTGGATTGGGAACAAGGCAAAGTCTATACTCAAGATTTAACTCAAGAGGCTTCAGTTTTAGGCTTAGAACATAGAGCTAGCAATGTTCTTGCTTTTGTAATGTTCTTTTTCTTTTTGTTCAAGGCTTCCATGGATAATTGTAAAAAATTGTTTTTGAAAACTTTGAATGGGTACGTATTCTTGTAGTGAACTTGAGTGTGTAATGAATGATAACACGAAAAGGCCTCATATTTCTTGAATCGGTTCTTAAGAATATTGAAATTTATATGCTAAGCAAACTTGAACCGTGATACATATACTTTTGGAATTTCCACTTAGAATCATGTCTTGAAAATGCTTGAAAACCTTGAATGATATTGCACTTTTGACAACTTGAAATCAATGGACTTGATCTTGGAATTTTGAATCTTGAATCCATTGGAACTTGAATCTTCCACTTGAAATTGAAAGTGATCTCATGCCTTGAATAACGTTTGAAATTTTGTATTATTTCGCCTTGGTAGCTTGAATTTTAAGACATCAACCACGGATGGATCTTCCAATTTACATGATTGATTAATGCACCTCAAACTCAATTGAAACCATAAGTATAAGTTAACTTGTGAAGAAATCCACATGAACTTCTTTCCAATACTAGCATGAATCAACTCTTGACAAACATGTGCTTGAGAACTTTAACTAATCTTGAGACCATGCCTTATAATCTTTGCATTTACGTATACCTTACATTACATGAAATACTTATGACACTTGCACCTTAGGAAACTTGAATGGATACTTCCCTAATCAAATCCTAAATTTGCCATGAAACTTTAACTTGCATCACAAGTAATAATAACTCGAGAGAACAATAACCCCTCGAGGAATCCTTTGAAGATAAATATGGAACTTGAGGCATGGGAGGAATAACTACTAAGATAGCCTTTACATGTAAATCCAACGAACCCTAGTTGATGAGTTAACACGCTTAATTGCCACGCATAAGAGCTAAGATTTTCTTGAGATGCGCTGTGATGAAAATGGATTTGTCTCTTACCTTGAGGAAGATATCCTTGTAGCTTGATAAGGAAGAGATCCACAATGATCATGAATCAAAATCCTAATTCCACAATTTTGTACACCAAGAAGAACTAGAATAATCAACATATACCCTTCCAATTAGCTGTAAACCTTAGCTTCATAACTAATGATCTTTTGAACCTCAAGTGCTCTATTTTTCATGAAAAGGCATGATATACACATGACCTATTGGAATGATGCAGATGAATGCAAAGTCTAATCCAGAATAAGAGAAATTAGGAGGGAAAATTTTGGGATGCAACAGCTGCCCATATTTAATCGCCTTTAACCTGAAGGTGAGATTGGCGCCAGCCTTTCAAACCTTCAAGATGGATGAAGATTAAATACATAAAAGAACCCAGAAATTTGCGCTCCAAAACCAATCAGGTATTATTTTTTTTTTGTTTTTCTGTATTTTCTTTTTTTTACTCTCTTTTTTGCGAAAAGGGGTTATCGGGGTTAAATGTATGCCAAGCCAGGGTTAGACATACAGAAGGGAACTTGGTTATCAAGGAACATCTGTCCAGAGTTAGCAGCAAACAGACGACAAGAAAGATATCAAAAATACATGTTTGGGGTTGGTAGCGAACACATACGAGAAGGATATCAATGATATACGCTAGAGTCGGTAGCAGACATACAGAAGATATTAAAGAAGGAAGAGACCTAACACAGTGGACTCGACCGAAGATATTGGAAATGGAAGAGACCTAACACAACGGACTCGGCCAAAGATATCGGAGATGGAAGAGGTCTAACAAAGTGACCTCAATCGGATATATCGAGGGAGGATGAAATATAATACAACAATTTCAACCAAAGATATTAAAGAAGGAAGATACCTAACACAACGAACTCGACCGAAGATATTAAAGATGGAAGAGATCTAACACAACGATCTCGATCAGATATATCAAGGAAGGAAGAAGTCTAACATAGCGACTTCAGCCAAAGATATCAAAAGAGGAAGAGACCAAACACAGCGGACTCGCCCAAAGATATTGAAAACAGAAGAGATCTAACACAACGATCTTGACCAGATATATCTTGGAAGGAAGAAATCTAACACATCGATTTCGACCAAAGATATCAAAGCAGGAAGAAACCTAACATGACAAACTCGATCGAAAATATCGAAGATATCGAAGATGGAAGAGATCTAACACATCAATCTCGACCAGATATATCAAGGAAGGAAGAAGTCTAACACATCGACTATAGCCAAAGATATCAAAAGAGGAAGAGACCTAACACAACAGACTCGCCCTAAAGATATCGAAAACGGAAGAGATCTAACAAAGTGACCTCAACCAGATATATCAAAGAAGGAAGAAATATAACAAAGCAATTTCAACCAAAGATATCAAAGAAGGAAGAGACCTAACACAACAGACTCAACCGAAGATATCGAAGATGGAAGAGATCTAACAAAGTGATCTCGACCGGAGATATATCAAGGAAGGAAGAAATCTAACACAGCAATTTCGACCAAAGATATCAAAGAAGGAAGAGACCTAACACAGCGGACTCGACCGAAGATATTGGAGATGGAAGAGATCTAACAAAGTGATCTCGACCAGAGATATATCAAGGAATACTAATCGCAGATAGACTCCTTGAGAAATAACACAGAATGAAGGCGAACTGGGGGTAAAATATATGTGTCCGACCAAAGTTAAACACATATAAGAAAGAGACCGACCGAAGTAGACTCTTAACAGAGGATGTCGAAGGTAGACTTTCTGGGGATACCGCGTGATAGATCCCATTTAGGGAAACTGGAAGAGAACTTTAGCAGAAGTAAATTCACAGAAAATGCCGCATCAAAGACAAACTTTACAGGGGCAAGAAATCAGCCGAGGGGTAATCTGACAAGGATACAAACCGAAGACGGGGTTAAGGGAAAATAACTTACTGGGCATTCACATATGTATTGAACCCAAACAGAATTTCGTTAGAAGGCGGACTTGTGATTAGAAAAGAGAGACCAATTATAGAGACTCTAAACAATGATTGCCAACACACGTTGGGCTTTAAGAGTTGCGAATATGCAAGAACTACAAAATCCCTCAGGCCAAAGGCGGGGTGTAATTCTTCAAGAATGGCAATCATCTGAATCACCACACACCGAGTATGGGTACTCAAACACTGGAGAAGCAAGAAAGGCTATACACTGACTCTTACTCACAATCTAATTGCAAAGGCAAACACGAGTAAAATAACTAAAGGCTTGCAAGGGAAAGAACGAACCACAAACTTATTGGGGAAATGGGAAATACCAAAGACCCGACTGGTGGTGAATTAAACATACTCTGTTAGGGAAACAGAATAGGGTCACCCTAAGCTTGTTGTGGAGATAATTCAAATCTGAGTGTATAACAATATAGTTACCACAAGTAAACACAATTGGCTCATACTTATGCATGTTTGAATTTTTTTTATAGCGTAATGCTCCATACAATGGAAATGCTACGCATTTTGGTAGATGCAATGTAATTATGCATGTTTAACAATGCACCGGGGGAAAGCACATCAATAATCGGCTGCCGATGTGACAATGAACTTCCAAACAATTATTCTCGCACATCTGATCTTCTGTAGAGAAAAGGCAATCTGAACTTCAATGGGGCACCGAGACTCGGAACCACCAACCTCTAAAGATCGATATCACTGGGGAATTAACTTCCTGGGGAGAATACTACAAAAATAAATTGTAGTTCAGAAAAAATCTTGAATTCTGATCAAACTTCCAACTTCCTGTCTATAATTTCCATTAAAATAATAACTTTAAGCCATGTGCCTTGCCCGGGGCACAGTGGTCCATTTGTTAAGGGTTTGTCATTTTCATATGCCATATGCTCATTTTAATGAAAAACATTGGACTATTTTTGCACTAAAATTTTGCGCTCTTTGCCTTTCTTTACTTTATTGCATATTCAAAAATAGCCATGTGACCTTACACGCACACACACATTTGCAAATCCATATCCACTCCGGATCTCATTGACGACGACTCTACTATTGCCATCTATGACTTTGAAAATCCAATCTATCAAGCCGAAGGCGAAGGTGATGAAGATTGTGAAATACCTGGGTAACTCGCCATACTTCTGTTACAAGAAGAAAAGGCCATTTAACCTCACAAAGAACCAGTTGAAATGAGAAACCTATATATTGAGGAAGACAAGAGGGAGGTCAAGATCAATGCCAACTTGAAATACTGTGTCAAGAGAAGATTGGTCCAGATGTTACACGACTATGGTGAAGTGTTTGCTTGGTCATATGAAGATATGCCAGTGCTTGATACTGATATCGTAGTTCATCGTCTCCCAATGAAGGAAGATTATCCTCTGGTCAAGCAAAAGGTTCATCGCATGCGGCCAAATATGTATGAGAAAATAAAAGATAAGGTAATGAAATAGTTTGATGTAGGTTTCCTGGCAGTGACGTCATACCCTTAATGGGTGGCAAATGTTGTTCCAAAACCGAAGAAAGACAGTAAAGTCTGTATGTGCATATACTACAGGGATTTGAATAGGGCAATCCCCAATATGATTTCCCAATACCTCATATCGATGTATTGGTGGATAACAATGCTCAACACAAAGTTTTCTCCTTCATGGATAGATTCTCTGGTTACAACCAAATCAAAATGGAACCCGAA